TAATAATTAATTACTCTCTCTCTCTCTCTCTCTCTCTAAATGATGCAACACGAGGAAAGATGTTATGACTTTCAATTAGATGTTATTCACTGGAAACTTTAATTGTTAGAACCCAACTCTGACGGAAGAGGCTAAGTAGATTGATGATGATCGAAGTCAGGCAACTTTAATTTGCAAATTTATTCAATTTGCAATAATCTAGCCGTTATTGTTGAAGCGATAAGAATTTAATTTGAAAGGCAGAAATATTCAAAATTATTTATCGTCAAATACATCCAGAATCACAAGATATTAAGTGTCACACATAAATTTGTCACTGTCTCTTCTTCCATGCAACATGTCTCATCAGCCAGCTTTTCATCATACTTGGTAACTTAATCTTTCCAGATTTGTTAGATAGAGGAATCTTTTTCTCAGTTTATGTGTTCACGTTTATCCGTGTTAATGACGCTTCTTCTTCTTCTTCTTCTTCTTCTTCTTCTTCTTCTTCTTCTTCTTCTTCTTCTTTCTTTCTGACCTGAGTTTCGTCATCGGTGCTACTCTATCTTCTTTCCCCCCTCCTTCTTTATCTTTCTCTATTTTTTCTTTCCTTCTAATATTTGCTCATTAATTTCATTATCCTCACGATTAATTTCATATTATATCCCTCGTCTCTTCTCACGTAAAATGTAAAAATTAAAGGAATAATTTCTCGCCGCTGATGTTTTTGATAGATAGTTCGAGCAGTGGAGGCGCATTCGAGTATCTACTTGACACACCTTCTGTCGCAATAACGAACATTTTTCTGACCTTTCAGTTGTCATTAAAAAGAAAGAAGAAGCTCGGCTGACGCGAAACGGAATTGCGGTTCGACTAGTTCAAAGCAGCGGCCGACCACCGCAAACGACTGAAAACACTGACATTTCAATCTTCAAAGAGAAAGAGATACACTGCTCACCCTTCGTTCCCATTCATTCCTTCCAACCATCCAAGAAAAATGTCCTACGATTCTATTAGGTCACCCCATAGGTAATGCGGTTTTTCTCTGAGTCATACTTGAATACAATGGAATTCCACGACACGATAATGAAATGGAAAATAGAAAATACGGTATCATACAGGTCGCCGTGTGATAAATTTCACTTAGGGATGACCAGATATATGTCAATAATTAATATATTTTTGAATGATTGATCATATTTTATGAAAAAATCGTTTGAACGAACAAACTTTTGTTTCAAAATGAATTTAAATTATTTTCGTATTTTGAAACAAGTTTGAAATATATTTTATCTAAGGATTTTTAAGGGATAAAAAATTGTTTGATGTTTATAAAATTTTTTGTAAAAGTTTTCAAGAAGAATAAAATTATTATATTTAATCTTAGGGCAAAAGTCAAATAAAAGTCAATTAAAAATAAAAATACAAATTCATAAGGCTTGGTTTTCAAATAAATTAAATTTTCAAGTAAATATTTTAAATATATGTGAAATTGATTAATTCCTAATTGGATATAGAAGAATTATCGATAGTAGATTATTTTGCACGTGAAAATAAGCAAAAAATATAGAATAGATTTTTTCAATTTAAAAATTCATCGATTCATCCTTCTCTATATAGATATGTTCAATCTCGATTTTTTAAAAAATAGGGCCTCAAAATAAAATGAACTTTTGATTGTACACTTTTCAGTTATCATGTAAAATAATCTTCTATTTGAATCCAATCGGGAATTAGCCAATTTCGCTTGTATTTGAAAAATTTTTAAATTTCGAAAACGAAGCTTGAAACAAATAAATTCTTTTTCTAAAAACCGATTGTATCATTAATAGGACATGTTTGTATATTAAACGATTCTTAGAGAATCAATTTTAGATATCAAAACAAATGTAAACATTGATATATATATAACAAAAATATCAAAAATAGAATTATTTATTAAATTATAGAAAATTTAAATTTGTATTTGATGACAATTTAAAATTTAATCTTCTATAAATTATCGAAGGATACGTTCACGTTTCTGTATTTGTACGTTATTGTATTTCAAATTTTTGTTAATCGAACGACATTGAAACACGTAACTGCAAATGCACGATACGATTTGCCTGTTTATAAACTTTTCCAATGCTACAATTAAATTGCTCCAGACTTAAGAAATAATTTAATAAATATAATAAAATAAAACTTAATATATGAATAATACAATGATACCAACATATACAAAAAAGTTAGCATTATTTATAATCTAATTCCTCTCCCCCCCCCCCACTCCCCCTCTCCTCATAATTTGCATACGAAAAAACGTACTTATACACCGATCCAATAGTCTGATAGATCGTTTTCGAACATCTTTGAACTTGTTACATTTATTACAAACGCATGCATTTTCCTTGATTCGTGGGATTGTCTTCGGAGGGATCGTGCATCTACTCCATGGTGTAGATGTCGCGTCACATGAATGACACGGTGTAAATGTCGGTATGACCGTGGAATACTTGGGGGAAAGGTTGAGAATACTCGAAGTCGAAGATTAATAGCAGGGTATGTTCGCAATAATGCCACGAACGAGTTTCACCGAAAACATCTCCCTACGAATATTTCATACGAATATTCCGATGACGAATTGATCG